AGTGACTGCTGATTGATGGGCTTCTTTAGCTATTTCTTCACAGCTCAGAAATGGTACGGTATTTATGATTTGAGTATTTCTTATTGGTGAGTCAGTAATATTCAAGCTCTAAGATAGGGATGGCATCATTTTCTTCACATTTTTGGTATTGCACACCACCCCTAGCCAAAAGCATTGACTATTGTAGCTGCTCAGGAAAAGATGAAGCTCATCAAGGTTAAAAAAATGAAGATTATGTCCTTCAACTGCCTTCAGTGGCATTCAACAGGGATTCATACTTATTCATAGGTACTTCTGGCCTATTAAGATATGACTAGCGAAATTTTATTTAAATCATTGCATCTCAGTTGCTAGTTCTTACTCTCAGAAGTATTTTTTTTGGTACAATTTCTAAAACCATAGAAAAAGTCAGAGTGGCAATTCATGTTCCATGGTATCTCAACCTATGGCCATCAATAAAATAATCAAGCCAAGGAATTTAGAATTTTATTGCATTTGCCGCTGATTCAAGGGTTACAATAAATACAGTCTATACTGTAGTGCCCTTTGTAGAAAAGAAATGTATTGCATTAATTCGCAAAGAGCATTGGCAAAAATTATTCGTGGATATATAAGATGAAATCTTGAAAAAAAGTTATGGAAATTGTTTTTATTATGTTTTGATTTTCCAAATGCATGTCAGTCTTCACCTTTGTAATCTGTGCAACCTCTTTGCTTCACAACCGTGTGATAGATTTGGCAGCAAAGTAAAACTGGAGTATTAAAGTGGCAGCATGAGCTCTGAAATGAAAGACTTTTGGCAGAGTTTTGATTGGTTGCTCAGCACCATAGTAATCAGTTAAAACTGACCTTTCCTCAGGGCATGCTGGAAAATCAGGGAAAGCTTCTTCTCCTTGTATCTTTCCCTCCCCTCCTCCTTTTTCTAAAAACCAGATAGTGACTCTGTATTTGGACTAAAGACTATCTCAAATATGAATAGGTAGACCAACCAGCAGAATTAAAGAGTGAATGATGACAGAGAATCTTTAAAAAGTCACTTAAGAAAAGTTTGTTCTAAATGGACTACGCTTTTGTCTGGAACATGTGTATAATAAGCTTCAGTGTTCAATGACAGTGTTTTCTGCTGTTGTTGCTGGATACCCAGACACTGATAACCAATATTTTAATAAATATTCTACATTTGATATTAAGTGATTCAACTATTTTGTATGTTTTAAAACTAAGTCATCCTATGTTATTAAGAAAGAGTTATGGTAGATATACCATAAGCAACATCATATTTACCCATTAATTTGGAGGTTTCTTTATGTATGATATCTTTGGATTAGTTATTATCTGGCTAATTTGAAACTTTCACTCCTGCTGCACCAGAACTGATACACCCACAAACCAAGCAACCAACCAAGGAAAGCATATCACCAGTTATAAAGGAATCGTGAATATATAGTTTAACTTCGGTTACATCTCCACTGTATCACTATTGGTATGATTATCTACCAATTACACATCATGTTCACAGACTTTTATGTGAATAATTTCTGACCTCTGTCAGACCTGTAAAACATCTAGGATTGTATGCTATTACATTTTGGTTGTATTACTGAAAAAAATGTCTTTGAAATCTACTGTGTATAGTTGATGATAATGTTTATACAGCAAGCTGGCATTAGTGCTTGTATGCCATAAGGAATAAAAAAATGTTTGTTTTACTGTGTAGCAGGAGTTCTTGATTTGTTTTATTTTGCTCAAACATTAGAAAAATTTTAAACATACAGAAACATTAGAAGAGTTTTAGAGAATCTGTCAATCAAACACAGATTCTGTAATTACTATTTGGCTATCCTTGTTTTATTACTTAAATATCTACCTATCCATGTCTGTTTCTCCATCTTTCAACCTTGATATTTTTATGCAATTCAAAATAAGTTGCAGACATCTGTGGGCTTCCTCCTAAATATTTCAGTATGCAGCACCATAAAGTCCAATATTTTTTAGTTTTTATACTTTTGAGATAAAATTTACATATGTGATAAAATGCACAAATCTAAAGTGTAAGTTTTCAGAGTTTATGCAAATGCATACAACTAGTATAACTCAAACCCCTATGCAGACTGAACCACCTAGAATGTTCTTTCATTATCCTTTCCCGTCAATTTCCACCTCCACAGTTAGTTCTCATTCTTTTTTCCACCACACACTAGTTTTTTCTGTTCTAGAACTTCTAAATGACATCATTCAGGATGTGCTCTTTCATGTTCACCTTCTTTATTCAGCATTGTTTTTAGAGTTTACCATGTTGCCTAATGTATCAGTATTGCGTATCTTTTTCTTGCTAATTATAAATATTCCATTCTATGAACATACCACAAATTTTTTAGCCAGACACCAACATTTCATTTGTTTTAATATTTTTTGTATTTTGAATAAAACTATGAACTATTTTATAAAAGCATTTTTTATGAATATGTATTTTCTTTTGGGTAAAAACTTAGGAGGGTAAACTTGGGTTCTTTTTTTACTCACCAAAATATATAAAATAAACTTATTCTATTTATTTGTGAAAACATAAAAAAATTCAAATAAAATAGCCCAAAGGACCCCTTCTGATTCTACCCTACATGCTATATGGTGAAATTATTCTTTCATGAGTAAAATGCTAAAATAGAAAAAAAAATATGTGTTAAAATCACTTTTGTGACGTTTTGGTGTGCTATTATTTCTTTCAAGCACTGTAGGATTCAGTACTTTAAATTACTTTGGTAAATTTATTTCAGGCTCTCAGTGTCACACATAAGTATTTTTCTTTAAGTCTTGTTATCTATCTCTTAGTAAATGAATGAAATGAACTTGTACTACAAAAGTCATTTTAGATTTTCAGCATAGCAAAAAGCAAAAATTTATTGACTTTTTAATGTGTATTTCCAACTGTAGCATCCACTATGAGAAGAAAACTTGAATTCACAATCATGAATATATACTCACAATACATAACATTGAATTTGCAATATGTAAGGTAGCCATAAAAATTGAGGCATAAAATAATTACTCTGAATGCAAATGTCCCAAAGTAACTTTAAAACAATATATCTGGGCACCATATAATAAGAACCCTTAAGAGTTTACTTCAAGTAAAACATGACAAATAAGATAATTTTATCTCACTGAGAATTGTGTGAATGATTGGTAAAATTCAGGCTTAGACATTAAACATATATGTAAAATATATGCTTCAATATCAAAATCTAGTTTTTGAAAATCAGTAAGACCAAGTGACAATGAATGGAAGATTAATATATTTACCGTAAGTTTTATGAATAAGGTAGATATGAATATCCCACAAACATATTAGAGCTATTTCACATATACTTACTTTACTACAAAGTTTTTGTTAACCATTAAATTTAAAAAGAAGATGAAAATTTATATTTGACAAATAAGTTAGGATGCATATGTTAATACATATTCATTCTACTGAACAATATCACCATCTGTTTTCAAATTTACATGACTATTTGCATATGAGCAATAAAACAAAATTATACATATTTATAGAATTTATTTAATGATAATAATTGTAATCAAGTTCAATGTTATGTAGAGGTAGCATTACTTATAGCCAAAATCTTAATTTTTCCCTTACATTATCCTTCAAATTCACTATATAAATTCCAGGGTTATATTTTTCCTTCATGCTAGGGCACATGTAATTGTGTGTATGTCTGTGTGTATGTGTTTCTGTTTGTGTATGCACATGGAACCAATTTTGTTTGAGAAAAAATATGCTGTCAATTTTAAAGGACTACTAGTTCAAAAAATACTTGACAAATGGTGAAATTCATTATTGTTCCTAAAAAGTAGACTAGTAGAAATGTATTATTATTTTCCTAGTAATATAATAGTGTGAAAATAAACTGGCTATTCGAGTCTGAGCATAGATGTTAGAAATATTTTACCATTAATGAAATGAGAATATAGTTGTATGATGACTTTTATATCACCCAGACATCTGTAATTTTGTTTTTAAAATATTTTTATATTGGGAAAAACTTTGTGTTATTTTGGTACTTTCTGTTATTTTGTTATTGTAGTACTTCATGTTTTCGTTTATCTCATAAGACATTGCATGCACTGACATTCTGTGCATGAAAAATGAGAATTATCCTGTTTATTTCTGGTTGAGACGTAAAGGCAAGTGTTATTAAAATATGTAACATATAAACATTTAATATTAAAAAAATTAATAAATGTCTGTTATACTATAGAGTTGAAAGTGCAGATTAGTGGGAAGGGAACAGTCTGTTCAAAAACCGATACCAGGACATTTATTAAAAGTATAAGTAGAGTCCTACCTCCCATTAAGCACTAAAAATCAATTTCAATTTCATTAAAATCCAAAATGTGAAAAGTAAAATAATAAAGTTTGGCCGGGCGCGGTGGCTCAAGCCTGTAATCCCAGCACTTTGGGAGGCCGAGGCGGGTGGATCACGAGGTCAAGAAATCGAGACCATCCTGGTCAACGTGGTAAAACCCCGTCTCTACTAAAAATACAAAAAATTAGCTGGGCATGGTGGCGCGTGCCTGTAATCCCAGCTACTCAGGAGTCTGAGGCAGGAGAATTGCCTGAACCCAGGAGGTGGAGGTTGCAGTGAGCCGAGATGGCGCGTTGCACTCCAGCCTGGGTAACAAGAGCGAAACTCCGTCTCAAAAAAAAAAAAATTAAAAATAAATAAATAAATAAAGTTTTAGAAAAGCTCTAACTATGCAGCATAGAGTTTAATAATGGCATGAAAATGAACTTCTATTTACTCCAAAGATACTATAAAAAGTAAGAAGATAAATCATAAAGAAGAAATGGACTCTTGCAACACAAAAACAGATAAAAGATTTTTGAGTTGATATGCATAATTCAAAAGTGATATTTAGATTATATGCAAAATATTTCAAAAACTTTTGTCAATGAAAAAAACAAGTCTTGACAATCCAGCAGAAAAATAGTAAAAGTGAAAATCCACATATCAATAAAATATTGAAAAATAACCTTTTTAGTAATTAGGAAAGTGAAATCATGATTTGATACTGTTATATACCCAATACATTGGCAAAACTGAAATTTGACAACACCATGTATTGGTAACAATATGGTGAAGCATGAATGTCATACATTGCTTGCACTGTCACTTTGGAAAACAGCTTGGTGTTACCTACTTAAGCTGAAATGCACATCCCTGTCACTGAGGAACTTCACATGTGAAAATACGCACCAGGAGACAGGCACAACAGTGCTTATAGTACAAGCATTGTGTCTTTGAGTTGCTGCGGGAAAGAGGCAGAATCTCCAGTTGTATTTGGAAGGACAAATTGATAGGTTTATACAATGGACTGACATAACACAAAAAAACCCGATATAGCTACACTAGTCAAGATGGATGGGATTCACAAACATAACATAAAAAAAAAAAAAAAAAAAAGAAGCAAGTCACAAGCAGATAGAAAGCATGATGAAGTTGTGAAGTTTTTTTTTAAACTTCTATAAATTACGCTGGAGATGCATGCATGGCCAATAGAACTGTAAGAAAAATAAAAAGAATGGCTATTATTATTTAAGAAAAATGGAGGATGTGGTTTAGCAGACACATAGAGAAGACTTCTAAGGTTCTGAGACTTAATTCAATATGAAATAAAACTATACATTGAGGAAAATGTCCTATATCTTATTTGATTATGTAATAATACTATATCATAGCACCTGGGAAAGCAATAACATGGATTGTAAGCTCTTTCAAATTTATATTTGCTTTCTATTACTCTGTAACAAATTATCACAAAGAGTGGCCTAACACTGCACACATTTATTATGCAAGTTTCTGTGGTCAGGAATAAGAATGAATCCTTTGCTTCAGTGTACCTCTCTGGCTGCAGTGAAGATAATGGACCTACTTGGAGTCTCACCGGGGGCTCAATCAGTTAAGAATCCAAACTGACTGAGGTTTTAGGAAGATTCAGTTTCTGCAGATTGTGGGACTGAAAGCCTCAGCTTCTTTTTGGCTGTTGGTTAGAAGCTGCCCATTGCTCCTTACCTTCATAGGGCCTTTGCCATCAAAGCCAATAAGGGTGGGCCTTGCTAAAGAGTCTCCCAGCAGGAGAGAGGTTATAATTATATGTAATGCAATCATGGAAGCTACATCACATAACTTTGCCATCTTTTACTGGTTACAACAAGCTGCAAGTCCTGTGCACATTTAGTGTGGGGGGGAAAAATTCACCAGGACATGAAACCAGCAGCAGAAAAACATTGAAGGCGGTCTTCAATGATTGAAGGTGGATATGAAGGCAGATAGTGTCTGTCTGCCACATCTTTGGTTGCTATGTGTAATTCTAAGGCTCTGATCAGTTTTCATTTTATTTTGTACTTATACTATAAACCTTTTCTATACCATGTATAACTAGTAGTACTGTACCTTGCGAATAGTGGAAAGTCAAAGAAATTGTGTATAAATGAAGTAAGGAATCTTATGTTCTTTGAAAATGGACAATTAAGCCGTACTTTGGACTAGTGTACATTATCAGATTATCTGATAGAATGAAGTTATTGTTTTTGAATTTGAGGCTAAATGAAGTAGCATTTCAAGAGCATACTTCAGAAGAAATTCATAATTTTTCCAACATTGTCTGTTTCATCTGTCATAAAGAATTTCATAAACTATGTAAAGAGTTTACTTAACTACTTATCAGTAACACTGAAAGAACTGGGGGTGAAAAGAATATTTAGCCAATATCTCTCATAAAAGCTTTAAACATAAACAGATTTTAGGCAAGTAGAGAGAGAACTGAGTATTTACAAGAATAATAGAACTGAACCTCTCTGAAGTGATCATAATAATGTATATTGCTTGAGTATTTTGTATCAAGTACTGTTTTAAAAACCTACCCTGAATTAATGTATTTAATCTTCTTAAACACATCATGCTAGAGGCAGCATTATTATCCCAATTTTGCAAATGGGGAAATTGAGCCCCAGTATAGTAAAGTGACTTAGAAGTCTGCATAGTGAGTAAGTGGTGAAATGAGCCTGAAAACTACAAATCTGGCTTTAGAGCTGGGGTCCCTAACCTCTGCTGTTGCACTTCTGCCACACTGTTTCCATGGCTACAGCATTGGTTACATGAGACAGATGAAGACTACATCTTTGGATGTTTTCTGAGTTAAGCTGGAAGGGGTGATAATATGGTTTAGTTCTGAGTCCCCACCCAAATCTCATGTCACATTGTAATTCCTAGTATTGGGGGAGGGACCTGGTGGGAGGTGACTGAATCATGGGGGCAGATTTCCCCCTTGCTGTTCTGGGGATAGTAATAGAGTTCTCAAGACATCTGGTTGTTTTAAAGTACATAGCCCTTACTTCTTGGCATTCTCTCTTTTCTGTTCTGCCATGGTAAGAAGTGCTTGCTTCCCCTTCGCCTTGCACCATGATTGTAAATTTCTTGAGGTCTCCCAGCCATGCTTCTTGTACAGCTTGCGGAACTGTGAGTCAATTAAACCTCTTTTCTTCACACATTACCCAGTTTCACATAGTTCTTTATAGCAGTGTGAGAATGGACTAATAGAAGTGATCAAACACACACATACAGATGTCTGATTTGATGTTATCCCTGCGTATAAATATGCTTCATTCACCTTGTCTTCAGAAAGTGAGTTGGTCAACCCTGATTAGCAAAATCCATCAACCCATGTCAGATATTTTTTTCCTGCTCTAGAATTCTGCAATGTGGATTTCAATTGTAGCTGAATCCAAATACCCGTGTTTGGAGCACACAGTAGGCTATGCTGAATACCTTGTATCAGAACAGCTTTTTTCTAATTTGCATTGCTAACAACGACTTCAATCTACTAAAAGCTCTGTCTTTAATACCTTGGGTAACCATAAATACTTTGGAAATTTAAAGTTCAAGAAAATCAATGTTCCTGCCCCTCTTTTCTTTGTACTTGTTTCAAATCTCATTTTAATGAGGCCAAAGTCACAGATACTATCTCCTGAGTGTCTATAAACTATCCTTCATTCTGGCCAGAGTTCTACTAACAAGCATCATTGCAAAATTATTCTATAATTTGCTAGAGGGTGAGGATAAAAATGTAAAAACAAAGTTAATGCAAATTTATCAACATTGTCAAAGAAAGGTGAACTCAATGATGCCTCCCTAGTGAAGGAACTTGAGCTGAATTTTAAATACTCCAGCATTACCACTCAATCAGCATCACTTAAACCTCAGCAACGTGTAGTTGACCCATGTAACAGACCCATATGGGTATTCCCTGAACCTGAAATGAAAGTAGGGAAAAAAGAGAAAAGCTGAGTCACAAATACAGATATAACTTGATAGTGCTTTACAAATAAACCAAAGTGAGAGTAATGATGTCTGACCTGTAAGCCAAGCTATGCTTATAATTCCTGTTTTCTTGGTGAGATAATAAAACAATGATGATAATTCAGATTATGATTAGAAATAACTTAGATTTATGAAGAAATATATTTTAGTGTGGTTGTTTATTCAGGTAAGAAATTATAATTGACCCCAGAATTCTTACCTTTCATTTTAGATGATATATTAATATTCAGAAAAAATACTTTACTCAGGATGCAGACTGAACATGGAGTATCAAACAGAATTCAATTATGTTAGTTGAAAAAATTTCCAGCATATGAATTCATAAATTATAATAGGCAGGTCAATCAGATGCTTAAGAATGCTCATTAGGCAAGCAAATGGTATTTGTTTGAAATAAAATAGTTACATTTTTAGAACAGATTTGAAAGTGTTAATATAAAAAAGATTAATATTCTTATGCAATACATGACCAATTTATGGGTTTAACAATATGTCATTGATCTAATTGCAAATATTTTTATATGAACAGATACATTAAAGTTAAGAATGACCTGTAATTTTGGGGTATTCCTATTTTTAAAAACATGTATCTTTAATCATTTGATCACTGTAAATTACAAATGATCATTTAGTCATAGTATTTATGCTGGTAATTAATTATTTTTTAGATGTTGAACCAGCTGTTATTTCTACATTTAAACTTCAATAAATTCACTTGTATTAGATAATTCTTGACATATTACAGCTGCGTTTAGGAATGATTTTGTGGTGAACACATTTATTATCTCACCATATAATCTCAGAAGTATTTAAGAATAAGTTATTACGGTCAGCATGTAAAAATATCCTCTTTTCTTCCCCTTTTTAAAGACAATGGATTTCTAATAAGTGAATTTAAATCACTTGGGTTCACATTTCATGAAAAGTATAGGAAAATAAAATAATTTTTAGAATGTTCTTAATGCTAATTTTTAACAGCTTGTTTCCTAACCTGTTTCTATGAATTATTTTACATAAAATTAATAATTCATATGTTTCAAGTCAGCATAACAAATACAATTGAGGTATTACTATAAAGAGAATCTATATTTAGTTCAAATTCTGTCATAAATTGGACTAAATGTAAGAATACATTAGGACCATTTGTTTAACATCCTTGCAAACACAGTGCCAACCAGATTTTAAAAATAATGTGGATCCTTTATGTGATTTTCTCCACACTATTAAAGCTTAGAGAAATAATATTTATTTACATATTTACTATATCCCTTTACTCTCCAGTTTTGACTTACTTCGCCTATATTTGATATTTTTAATTTTAGCCTAGAATATTCATTAATTTTGACTCTTTCCATAGACTTTTAATTATTTCTGTTATCAACTATTTAACCTCCCCTTTACATATTTTATTAGACGTGTAAGCCAATTTTATTATGGGTAATATAATTAATAATACAGATTTAAATTGTTTTAGACTACATACTCTTATGAATTCAACCCTTATAACATTGCTTATGTTTTACATTGGCTCACCACATCCACATGTCTCAAATCTTGCTTTTACACGAGTGCCTGTATTTCTGGAACTTTTTACTGAGGTGTGCTTTTGTTGCCAACATCTTAACTGTAAAAGTATTACTTCTCTGATCAAGTTAAAAACACAAACTCACTTAGACTTATCAAGTATTATTGCTCAAAGATAATGCTAATGAACATGTTTTGTTAAAGGTGATTGTTAAAAGTTAAAGATATTTCATGCTGGTCTTCCTGACACTTTTGATAAAAGGAGAGAGAAGAAGAGCAGAAGAGAAAGGGAAAGGAGAAAAAGGAGGAGGGGAGAAGATAGAACAACAAAATAGGAAAGAAGGGAGGAAAGCATGAAGGAAGGAAGAAGAAAGGAAGGAAACGAAGGAGAGAGGGAAATACATAAAACATTATACATGTGCTTGGCAATACAGAACTTCGTCATTTGGTCTGTTTTTACTTATTCCCCATAAAGACCCTCTGGCCTATCTTTGATTTTCTCTGCACGGTGGACCTGAGAGTGGCCATTTATTTATTGAATGTTCCAGAAGATAGAATTCATATTGCAAAAGAAAATACACTACCCTTGGAGAGAGTGTAGTTTTAGTATTTTAAGAATGTTTTAGACTCATTTGGATGCTGATTTATTGAAATCTGTTTTGAAAGCCGTTAATAGCTGGGTATCATATATGAAAAGAATAAAATTTAAGAAATAAATGACCTGGTATTTTCATTATTAGTTACTCATAAAGAAAAAATAGCTCACTTGTATTTACATTTAAAACAGCAGTCTTAAACATGAATTACCTTAACTTTCGATCTTTTGTCAAACTCTTTTATACTTTGTTTGAATGAAACGATTTTTGTTCTAGAATAATTATATTGACTATAAACTTTTATTACTTCATTTCTCATATGCCCTTGTTTTATTAATCACAATTATACAGCAAAACAAAACTTTATAATTAAATGTAGAGTAGCACATATTGTTACAACATTGAGCAGAGATAATCCAAAATGATAATTTTTTTTGCCTTTATTTAGGCCAAAATTAAATGTGCCAGCAAAATGACCTCAGAATTCATAAAATATAAATATCTTCATGTCACAGTAAAATATCTTGCCTTCAGTGCTCAATTCATGCCAAGATTTAATGATCTCCAAAGTATTGATTTTATCTTTAGTTTCCTGAAATAATAACTTCTTATGATAATAAATCTTCATGCTCTAGACAAATCAGTCATGTGAAGTGAAATCAATCTTCTCTTTACACAGTAACTTTTTTTTGGTCCATAGAGTGAAGGTTTTTCCTTTTAAAGGAATAGGTGCATATTTCAACCCTAATTTTCTGTACTTTTAAGTTTAATTTGCATACTTAAAGATCAAAAGTACAGCAATATTTTTAATTACTACTTTTCACTAGACAATCTAGTCAGTATCTTCTTCCTTGAAAGGCAAAATTATTTTTAGCTACTGTTACTGTGATTGCAGTACTACTAACTAGTAGTTTAAAGAGAAATGTGAAAACACAGCTTCTAGATAAAATACTTAATATGTATACTGATATTTTAGTTGTATTTTCAGGATAATTCTTGGTTTTCTGGTTGGGAAATTGAGAGAGCAAATTCTAGGCAGTGTAAGTTTCAGAGGAAGTGTACCGAATGTACTTTGGATATTGTGATTTGGCAGTATGTGAGGGGAATCTTTGTGGATATGCTTGTACTTACCATCACCTAGGGGAAACCACAGGGAAAAGATAACACAAGAGATAGATGAAAGAAAAAAAGAAGTTGAGAAGTCCCGGCTTTGAAGGGAAGTTTGGAGTTATAAAAAACTAAAACAGGGTTAAAGAATGAATGTGAAGAAATGCAGAAGTGAGAAAACAAACAAGCACACGGAACAAAATAAAAACACAAAACCAGCAGTGTCTGGATGTGGAAGTCATAATAGGAAAGAGTTCAAGTAGGATAGAAGGCTTAATCATGTGAAATGTTGCTGATGAAAGTAACATTAGGCTTGAGACAGTCACAGAATTTGCAAAATAGGAGGTAGTTAGTGACGCTGGCAGGAGTACTTTTATTAAAAAGGAGAAGAGGAAACTACCTGGAGTAGGATAATGGATAAATTTCATCTGAGGAAGTCCAGACTACTAGGCTCTGCTTTGTATTGAGAAGAGAAGAAGGGTAGTAATAGTTTGATCTAGGGGAGACCTCTCTCTCTCTCTCTCTCTCTCTCTCTCTCTCTCTCTCTTTTGTAAGATTAAAGGGATGAGATTGAGGAAATCTTTTGAAGTATTTTTCCATTCAGTTAATAATCTCTTTTTCTTTCTTAGTGGTATGAATAAATTTTAGGACTTAGATGGCCTCTTGAGTTGTGATTCTTAAATTTCCTATGGCCAGTATATTAAGAGGGAAAGAATACTCAATTTTCATCATCTTATGGTAATTCAAAATCCTTTGACAGTTTCTATTTCAACTAACTAGGCAATATTGATTATGATATTTTTCCATATGCCTCCTTCACTCAGCAATTTAAATATCGATCAATTCTAGGATCAAGCTTAGTAAGAAAATAAATATTACCATTCTGCTTATAGAAAAAACAGTACCAGTCTCTTCTTCCTTAACCCCGTACCTCCTATGGCCTGTGGCAGCTTCTCTTCTCCCCTTCTCCATAATGAAGGAGTTTCAGAAGGCTTGCCTCCTTCAAACAATGCAAAAATGCCTTTACAATGCTTTTGCTATCATTAGATACAGCTTTGTTGGAGAGAGGTGGAAGAAAGATAATTAGATCAACTCACATTATCAGATTTTGGAATTCAATCTGATAAATTTTATTAGGTAATTCCTGTTCCTCAGTAGCTGCCTATAAGGCAAACCAAATGGCTATTACAACATTAATGCTGTGCTTGCAGTCAAAATTATACCTAATGAGATACCATGAGGTCTAATACATTAAAATTACAGGATCCTTGTGAGGTGGCATCATATTTAATGCTTTTCTTTCAGGTGTCATCTATAATGGATTCAACACAGTGAATAAAATACTTAATGATATTTGCTCTTGCTCATGTCCCAAAGCTTATTGTTTGCATTGAAGGGGCACAATGTCTTTACTAACAGAAGTACAAAAGTTTTATATTTAGTGCAATTATAAAGTGATGCTGACTTTCATCAACACTGCCTCTACCTCAACACCACACCACTTTTCCAGTAGCAAAGCATCTTTTTTAAAGGATCAGAGACTGAGCCCTTTTATATCTTGCAGAGATTGTCCATATCAAGGCAAAGAACGAGTTATAAGGGGACAAATAAATAAAAAAGGTCCAATCAATGTGCTCTGTTGCGCTGTAAGCCAAATCGATCTCACTGTTTGATGTCAGCCACTGATCAAAATGGTGCCATCCAACCAAATCCAGAGCTTTACCTCACTGTGTGTTTGCTAATGGTCCATTAAGAAATTTGAATCGCTTCCAGGATATTTTGCTTTTGTCTTTGTGCTCATTCCTTTTGCTTATGGCAGGATCCGCTTGTCCTTCCTCAAACATTCACACTATCACTTGCATGATATATGAGAGTGTTGCTTTTCAAAGTTTGATTAAACTCTATTGATGTACTAGGGTTACTTTTTCTTTCTGTTTTCAAGAGGCGAGAGGCTGCATAAAAAAAATACAAAGATGTGGTCAGACATGGTGGCCCACGCGTGTAATCCCAGCACTCTTGGGGGCCGTGGCAGACGGATCACAAAGTTAGGAGACCGAGACCATCCTGGCCAACATGGTGAAACCCCGTCTCTACTAAAAATACAAAAATTAGCTGGACGTGGTGATGCATAGGTGTAGTCCCAGTGACTCAGAAGGCAGAGGCAGGAGAATTGCTTGAACCCGGGAGGCGGAGGTTGGAGTGAGTCGAGATCGCACCACTTCACTCCAGCCTGGCGACAGAGAAAAAAAATTTTTTTTGGTTTGCGTTCTCAAAAGCTCATTTTATGTTTCAAACCCTTACTATAGAAAGAGGTAAAAATACAGATTTCTGGCCGGGCGCGGTGGCTCAAGCCTGTAATCCCAGCACTTTGGGAGGCCGAGGCGGGTGGATCACGAGGTCAACAGATCGAGACCATCCTGGTCAACATGGTGAAACCCCGTCTCTACTCAAAATACAAAAAATTAGCTGGGCACGGTGGCGCGCGCCTGTAATCACAGCTACTCGGGAGGCTGAGGCAGGAGAATTGCCTGAACCCAGGAGGCAGAGGTTGTGGTGAGCCAAGAGCACGCCATTGCACTCCAGCCTGGGTAAGGAGTGAAACTCCGTCTCAAAAAAAAAAAAAAAATACAGATTTCTAACAAATTTCTCTGGTTTGAGTGTGAAACAGTGCCAGTCCTGTTATGGAATACAATAGTGAACACTGTGTGTGCAAACACTGTGCCAGGCACTCAGCAGAGTATAAAAGAAAAAGATGATTCAGTCCCTGCCTGGCGGTTCATAACTTAGAGAGAGAACCCAGTTACACAGGTGGAAATACCTGAATCACATCATGGAAGAACACACTAATGTGTGCAAAAACCATCCTGCTGCTATTGGCCACAGTGCAGTTAGAAATGAAATGCAAAGTTTGGGACTGAGGAGAGCAGCATTTCCTTCTGTGATGGATGATGAGTATATGTGGCCACTCTGAGCCTAGCAGCCTATGAGAGAGCCCAGAGAACAGTTTACTAACATCTCCAGCTTACAGTCTACGCTCTGCTTGACAATATTGACCACTGCAAGGGACTGGGAGGCTTCATGGATCTGCATATACTCACTGTGAGTGATATCTATATCCTTTGCTCTACTTGCTCTTGACTCAGTAGTAAATCAAAACAAGTGTATTTGTATTAGTCAGGGTTCTCTAGAAGACAGCCCCTATAAGACAGGACCAATAGTATACAGAATTATTCATATATATATGAATGACGTGTGTGTGTGTGTGGGGGGGTGTGTATGTATATATATGAGGGAGGATTTAGTAGGGGAATTGGCTTATGTAATTATGGAGGCTGAAAAGTCCTATGAGAGGCCTATCTGCGATCTGGAGACCCTGGGATGCCAATAGCATGGGTCAGTGCAAGTCTTAAGACCTCAGAACCTGGGAAGGTGATGATGTAACTCAATTTGAAGCAAAAGTCTTGAGAACCTGAGGGGGTCACTGGTGTTAGTTCCTGAGTCCAGAAACTGGAGACAATAAAGTTCTGATGTTCTTAGGACAAAAGACGGATGCTGCAGCTTCAGGAGAGGAAGAAAGAATTGCCTTTGTGTTCTCTCTGGGCCCCCAGCTGGTTGCATGATGCCTGTCCACATTGAGTGCAGAGCTGCACCACTCAGTCTGGCAAGTCACATGCCAGTCTCCTCCAGAAACACCCTTACAGACATATCCAGAAAGAAGGATTTACCAGCTTTCTAGCCATTCCTTAATCCACTCAAACTGACACCTAAAATTAACCTTCACAGTAGTCTTGATCCAAAATAAAATGTTCATTCTTGTCAATCATTGAAATTTCATCAACCCTTCCTGAAATTACTTAGAATAACTGACAAGCACAAAAGCCTTAGAGTAATACAACACACAACCTTGTAAGTTATAATTGAGTATCCACCATGGATTTCATACAGGGTGTGAGATAATTAATTAGGAAAGACTACTATTTGACAAAGATTATGGAGGAAACGGCAAGATCATAATGCAAATTTGATCTATATAGATTTTTCTTGTACTGTAGTTTGTCTTATTTATGATTTGTTTTCCCCATAAGTTCAGATTGTAAATGTAGCATAAGGATTTCTCTGGCCTCGTCAACATTACCTATCCATGTCTGCTCCTATTTTAACTTTCTTATTCTCATGGAGTTTCCATGTGCATATCATACGTGGATTAGGTACTTCTCTTTAGCACAAGCCTCACAAGGATAGAAATGGAGGTCAGCCTTCTGTGGTTCAAAGACTGATGGTTATATCTTGCACTTACGATAGCATGTACTGCAGGCTGCCTAAAAGTAATTTTGAACAGCATAGCTCATACCTTGATTTTCATGTCTGAAGTGTTATAATATGGAGATATAGATAGTCCTCAACTTATAATGGCTTGACCTAATGATTTTTCAACTTACGACGGTGTGAGAGGGACATGCATTCAGTACACTCATTGACTAAAATGGGATTAAGTCTCAGACCTCAATAAACCCATCTTAAGTTGAAAAGATCTTAAGTTGAAAATGCACTTTCTTTTTGTTTTTTTTTTTTTGAGACAGAGTCTCAATTTGTCACCAAGGCTGTAGTGCAGTGGTGTGATCTTGGCTCACAGCAGCCTCCGCCTCCCAGGTTCAAGAGATGCTCCTGCCTCAGCATCCTGAGTAGCTGGGACTACAGGTGCCCACCACAATGTCTGGGTAATTTTTGTATTTTTTAGTAGAGACCGGGTTTTGCCATATTAGCCAGGCTAGTCTCGAACTCCTTACCTCATGATCCACCTCCCAAAGTGTTGGGACTACAGGCATGAGCCATCCCACCTGGACTGAAAATGCACTTTCAAATTACACAATCCTCAACCTACAGTGGGTTTATTGAAATATAACCCCATTTTAAATCAAAGAGCCCATGTTCATAGTGTATATGTGAATATATTTATAGCTATTCAGACAACTTAAATAATAACTTATCCTTGCTGACCCATATAATCTATTGGTCTGTTGTTTTACTACTAAACTGGCTTCTGTTGCATTTTAGTTACATCTTTTAACTACTCTTTCAGCAAATTAATGTGGTATAACTGCCTAAAGTTCATTTTCAGGGCAATGAATCCACAACTTAAAATTTTCCAATATTCTCCTAACTTACATGTTCTTACCATTGTTATGAAAATCATAGTCCAACAGAGGAGAACATGTATTATTGTTCAGAAAATGTGGTCCCCAATTCAGGACACTGTTTATTCAAAATATTCAACATAGTCACATTTATCTTTCTTTTGGCATGGGATCATGGGTTGGTGCAGTAGTTGACTCTCAGGCTTTTAGAAATTATTAAACTAACATAGTTGGTTATATAAGAATAGTACTTGTTATATTAACCCCAAATTGACAACTGGATTATAAAACTGAGTACTAAAATGTGCTTAAGAGATCTGCCAAGAACGGCAGCAGCATTCCTTAAAGCTAAAGGTGAAGACCCAGCTACCATCAGCCTGCAGGCCCTACCCTGCCTATATAATTAGAATAAAGAGATAGGGTGGCTAAGTCAGAGTCTTGAATGATTAGTTTAAAAGGCAATTCATGAGTATGTTCATCACAGTAATATTCACAGTAGCAAAGACATGGAATTCACCTAAATGCCCATCAACAGTCGACAGGATAAAGAAAATGGGATAAAGAACGCAGTAGACTGGATAAAGAAATGTAGTATAATACCATGGCATACTACACACTCACAAAAAGAATAATACATCCTTTGTAGTAATGTGGATGGATCTGGAGGTCACTATCCTAAGCAAATGAATGCAGGAACAGAAAACCAAATACTGCATGTTCTTACTTATAAGTAGGAGCTAAACAATGAGAATACATGAACACAAAGAAGGGAACAACAGAAACTAGGGCCTACCCCTCAAGGGTGAAGTTTAGAAGGAGGGAGAAGACAAAAAAAAAACCTGCATACTGAGTAGCATGCTTTTTACTTGAGTGATGAAATGATCTGTAAACGAAACCTTCAGGCCCCCATGACACACAGTTCACCTTTCAAACAAACCTGCGCATATTCCCCAGAACCTAAATAAAAGTTAAAAAAAAAAAAAAGAAGATAACAGGCAATGCATTGCCTTTTCTCTTCCGTTCTCATAGATGTAAAAGAGGCTCTGAGGCAGCTAGTTATCTTCCCATTGGCCTGTGCAGGGAGGAGGCCCAGCAAGCCTTGCAGGCATCAATATTGATCCAAAGAGTCAACATTTTATTTGTTCCAAGTGTTAGTGGCTCCACTCAGAATGCAAGGTACTTCGTGCCTTTTTGACCCTGTTTGACAGTTGTGGAGCAATAGAAATGTTTCACTCAACATCTTGTTAAATATTTAAGGTAGAAGGAAGAAATAATTATGCTTTTATTTTTTCAAAGTATACAGCCACATTTCAGAATGTAGGTTGCATCCTCATTCAGAAGCTCTGTTTTATACCTTTGGAAATGGATCCTTTGCTGACACTTAAATAGTGTAGTTTAGTGAGTCAAGGGAACAGGGCAAGTATTTTGAATGTAATGTTGTGAATCACTTTTTGTATATTCTGTGAATACTAGTGAAGTATGACTGCATTATGGCAATTCTTCTTCGTAAATAATGTTTTATTTTTCAGAGTTAGAAAATGTGAGAGCTGAACGTGTCTGAATAAGACTGGCATGAGTCAGCAATCAATCTAAAAATAATAGTGCATATGTTAAACAGTACTCTCCAAAGAGTAGCAATATAGCCTATTGTCAGTATTTGGGGAAAGCAATGAAGTGTCTCTAAGAACTTGGAAATGAGGGTAATAAGATGGCCTTTTATACAGTTAAATTGTAAGATAAATGCCTAATCAATCAGTATGTAGATAGGAAAGCACCTGAAAGACACAAAATGGTTCTCACCATGGCAACACTGGGCTTTAACATGATTGAATATATTAGAATATCCAAAAGGGAGAAATACAGCTGTGAATAAGAGATTGTCAGTGATGGAAATTCGGGAATATGGGTGTTATGGACGCATATGTTTGTTTTAGTCAAAAGCTGCCAAATAGAAGCCATTTTTACCATTGGACGGTCTTCCTTAGATATATTTAAATATTTAGAACTTCAAGTGTCCTTAAATATCTGATTATTTAGATACCAATCAATCTTTTGATTATTTTATTTCCAATTTATATTATCCTATAGGAAACTTGTGGATTAAAATTTATTTAGTTTGTTAAAACAGTTAACCCAGGAACTAATTGCTAACTATCACTAACTAGTAGCTACCCTAATAATCTAATTTCTCTAGACCACTGAAATAACAGTTCGCCTTATTTCTCATGGTAAATGTATACATTAGTGTTTTAATTTTATTTTGATTAAAATTATGTTTTAAGGAGTGCATTATCGTTCTGATTTTATATGTCTCTCTTGGTGAAACATGAGCTCTCCCATGAGGGTAGGCCCTCATCTGTACAGGGACTGAGTCAGGTTCCTATACTCTCAAGATGTAGTACCAGATCCTAGACCCAGACATTGCTCACCAATGTAAGAGGCATTTGTGGAAACAGCTGAGCTTCAGAGCATGTCTCCTTCTGGGGATTCCTAATGATGCCACTGACCCATCACAGGAGTTTTAAGTAATTCTTGTGCTATTAGCAAAATTCCAATATTGTATGATTGTATACTTAGAACAGTGTTTAATTCTCACATTAGACTCATGCAATTTACATTTTATATTTTAACTTTTTCCTTTGAACTACTTTTACCATATATATAACATATATATAAAATGTAGTCTAAAGATTTACATATATTTACACCTATGTAACACATAATTTAACATGTTACATGATACATGACATATATAACATATGTTAAGAGATAATTTAAAATGTCTGCTGTATGCAAAAAAGCAAATCTCTACTAAACATATGAATAGATGTATAAACTCTAATATTCAAAAAAATACTAAATAGAAAGGCAACAAATACCATTTTTGCCCAGAATTAGGCAAAGTTTTTAAAAAGAGTTAACCTCTAGCATTGGAAAATATGCTTAACATACATCATATGTTATATGAAAATGTATACATGTAAATATTATATACATATGTATAAATCTTTATATTTATAATTTCCTACAGATCGTATATGGGATTAAGTAGCTGCTATGAAA